CTTCTGGTATGTCTTTTCCTGTGAACTCACTGCTCTTTGGGACTCTCAGCTCCACTGGCTGGTACCGTGCCAGGGGTTCTTAACTTTGGCTGCACATTGACATCACTGGGGAGCTTGACAAATGACTCATTCCTGGGTCCATCATCTGAAGATGCTGATGTCAGTGATCCAGGTGTGGTCTGGCACAGGAAGTTCTAATGTGCAGTCAAGGTTGTGAACCCTGTGCCCCCACCCCCCACCCCACCACCACCCAGAGAAGGTGGGGGGTGAATGTACCTCAGATGTGCCAACCTGTGCCAACCTTGTCCTCCCATATCAGGAGATCCAGACCCTCAAGGAGACATCCAAGGCCCCTGCCTTCCCCAAGACCCGTGTCTCTGGTTGCCCGTACCTGGTCCGAGGTATGGTGAGAGGGGAGAGGGGGCCCAGCTGCTGTTTGGTGGTAAAAGGATGAACGCGGGGGAACGTGCGGAAATGATGAGCACAGCCAGAAAACTGCCCCCCCGCGCCATCCTCACCGTGTCCTCGGCCGTCTCTCCCGCTGGCCTGCTGCTGTTCCCCACTCCGAGACCCCAGCCCTCCTCGCCGTGGTGTTGGGTCCTGGGATCCATCGATCTCTCTCTCTCTGGCATCTCCGAGTGGGGGTTGAGGGGAGAACCAGCACTCTGTGGCGGTCCATCTTCCTGCCCCACCCACCGTCGTGGGACACGCTGGGCACTGCGGCTTCAGAGACGAGCTGCGTGAGGGCCCAGCGCTCCCTCTCATCGCGGCGTCTTTGGGGCCAGCACCAGGACCTGCCGGGGAGGCGGCCATCGGTCACCACGGTCCCTGGACTGGTCACAAGCCTCACGGCAAGTGCCACTGGGGCCCATTCTTCTTGAGCTTCTCAGCAATTGAATCGGTCTCCCCGCCGGCTTCAGGAAGTTTATTCAGAGGATTTGCTTGCGCCTGCTGCTTTTCTGGGGCCTGTGCTGGTATATCTCTGTGGCTGGGGAGGGGGAGGGCAGTATGATAAGCGAGACACGTACCCCTTCCTCCAGGAGCAAATACTCTCATGAGTGGATCAAATGGCTCCAATGCCACCAATGGAGCCACGGCTCTAATGTGCGATGTATGGCGTGGCTCGGGGTGGGGTGTCCATTACCTCCAGGGGGCCAAGAAGGACATCACGGAGGAGGTGTATGAGCAGGGCTTTGAAGGACAAGTAGGAGTTTATTAGGCAGAAAATCAGGAAAATGCATTCTAGGCAGAGGGAATAGCATATGCAAAGGCAAAGCAGCACAGGGTTTGGGGAACCAGACATACAGCAGGGAGATTAGTGGGAGCTGAGGCTGGCCTGGGGGGTGGAGGTCAGAGTAGGATGGTGGTGGGCAGACACCGGAGGGACTGGGACTTCCCTCTGAGGGTGAGGGGCAAATGTACATCTTGTTAGGTGGACCTTGGCTGTGGGAAACGGCCCAAAGGGGAGGCCCTGGAGGCGGAGGGATGGCGGGAATCCAGGCGAGGAGAGCTGAGGCCAGAACTAAAACAGGAGCAGCAAGAAGAGAAAATAGTGGCCGAGTTTGAAAACAAATTTAGATGAGCTGGCGATGGGGGTGACCCCAGAGGGCTCCAGGGGTGGTGGGGGTGACTCTGGGGGAGGTGTCGCTGTCGGAAGGGGAGCCATGTGGGGTGAGGAGGAAGATGGGACCTTCAGCTCGGGATACGCCGGGGTCAGGGTGGGACATCCAGGTGGCCTCTGGGACTGTGTGGCTGGAGCTCAGGGAGACGGGCCCGTGACAGAGCTAAGCATAAAGACACGGCTGCTCCCGGCTGCTGGGAGGAGGACGAAGGGGGAGAAAGGCAAGGGTGGGGCTCAGGGATGCCCCCAAGTTTTAGGGGTGAGCCAGTTTGTCTGGAAAAAATAGGCAGAGCAGGGGAAGAAGTAGGAGGGATATGGCTGGGGTGTGCACACACTGTGGAGTGAGATGGGCTAGACCCGTGGTCGGCAAACCGCGGCTCACGAGCCACATGCGGCTCTTTGGCCCCTTCAGTGTGGCTCTTCCACAAAATACCACGTGCGGGCGCACAGGTACAGTGCGATTGAATCTTCGTGGCCACACTCAAGGGGCCAAAGAGCCGCATGTGGCTTGCGAGCCGCGGTTTGCTGACCACTGGGCTAGACCATCAGCTTTGTGAAGACAGGGATGCGACTGCTGAATCCCAGTGCCTGGCTCAGGGCCTGCGTATGGAAGGTGCTCACACGTAACTTGGATGGCTAGACGGATGGATGGAAGGATGGATGATGCGTCACCCACCTCACAGTTCCCAGCAGCCACCTGGATGTCCTGGTGCGGTGCTTTTCTGTCTTCCTGGGAAGGTCTCCCACCCCTCTGCCCACAGTCCTGCCTTCCTCTGTAGCAGATGCCTCTATAGGACCCAAACCTAAACTGGCTCCAGATACTCTGTGATCACATATTCCCCCTCCCACCTGGGCCAGAGCTACCAGGAATAGAAGGGGTCACCTGACCCAGGCCGGCCAATCAGAGTCTGACCTGGGACTCTTGCCTCTGGATCTTCTGAATGAGCATGTGTAAACTTGGGTGACTGTGTGTACACCTACTTGTATGCGCCAAGAATGCTGGTGTGCAGAGAACATGAGAGGGAGAGCCAGGGTGCAAGAGAATGGGAGGTAGAGGCAGACGAGGTGGCGTGGGCAAGACAGGAGAAACAGGTGTTCCCTGCTCTGGCCTCTCTGAGGCTTGGCCAGGTCCCGCTTTGGGCTCAGAGTGTCCCCTGGGTCTGGCTACTAACCCTGCCTTGGCCTTGGCCGCTGTGTGTGGATTTCAGTTTTTTGCTGCCCCCCAGGCCAGTGTGTGAGGTGCCTCTCCCGGGGCGCTGAGCACCCGTCCATCTGCTTTCCCCTGAGGCCTCTCGCAGTCAGACTCTGGGTCCTGGATGCCAAAGGCCACCACTTGCACTTGCTGGTGACCCGCCCTGGGCAGGACTCGGCACACGCTCTGGACGGCACCACAGAACCCAGGCCCCAGACGAGGACCCGAGTGTTGCTTGGGCTCTGCTCATGCTACACGCCCTGCGAACGTCCTCGGCCCGCCTTCCCAAGGTGAGCCAGGCCACCGAGGGAGGCCCGGTCCCCATCCTGACGGGTTGGGCCACCAGCTGAAGGATGTAGCAGAGCCAGAACTTGAACCCAGCTCTTCAGACTCCTCATGAAATTAACTTTCCGGGGTTTTTCCTCTCCTCCTGCTGAGGGATGCCAAAGGCGGGGCCTGGGCTGGAGGCGCTGACACTTGTGGGGACCCTCGGGGTCACCCGGGTCTCGCCGGAGTCCAGCATGAACAGGGCTGGAGGCAGTGCAGGCCCAGACCACGCTGTCGAGCCCAAACATGCCAAGGTCACCTGTAAAGGCAAAGCGCTTTGATGGTGAAACCTGAACTGACGCTCTTCACAGGGAGCCGCTGTCCCGGGGCCCTGCCGCCCCTCCTGGCGCTGGGAGCGGCGTCTCACAGGCAGGTGAGCCGTGGGGCCGGGACGAAACCGCCAGCTGCGTGTCCCCCACCGGGCCAGTCCTCTGCACAGACAGGGCTCCAGGGCAGGCGCAGATGAAAGGCCTGCATTCCTCGCTGTGACAACGGGGACTTCCTGCTCCAGGGGCATTCCTGAGGCCGGTGCCAGCGAGCGCAGGCCTGGCCCGGCCTCCTGATCCTCCTGGCGCGGGACCAGCCCGTCTAAGCCCCCAGCTCTTTCTAGGCTGGGAGGTCAGGGGGTGGCGTCTGGGACCAGCGGGGGGCCTGGGTCGCTTTATCAGGTGCTTTAGAGACAGCAGCGAGCCGGGAAAAGGTTAAAACATTTATTTAACAAATTATATTAAGAGACAGACGATCACACAGTGAAACTTCCCTTTGTCAACCGCAGGAGTCGCCTCGAATAAATACGCGCGGCGAGGACACGTTCCTATGGCGAGTGCAGTGGCCGGGCCCTCGCGCCTTTGCTGGGAGGGGAGGGCAGGGCCCGGCTCAGGGTGGTGACAGCCCTGGCGGCCGAGGGCCACGTTGACAACAGGCGAAGGAAGCTGGCCGACCCACGGGCGCCTGCAGGCCTCCGGGCACAGTAGACAGGGAGCCTTCGAACCCTCAGCCTGTGCGCCTTGCAGGCCCCTCTGCCCTGCCCTCAGGGTCCCTGGTCTCCGAGGAGCTGAGGGCTGGGCTTCCCCAGAAATGGCAAAGGAGGGGTAGCCAGCGCGCGCCCTGGCCCTGCTCCGAGGCGTGTGCTTATGGGGGGAGGGCTGGCACCGCGGCTCTGGGGCCAACGACACGGCTCCAAACCCGTCTCTGCCACTCACCAGCCTGTGCCCTTGGACAAGTCTCGGCTCCTCCATCTGACGGAGCGAACAGCGCCCACTTCTGGGCGTTTGCTTTTCGAGGGGGAATGACGGGGAGAAATGTGCTTAAGGTGCCGGCCTGAGGCCTGGCCAGGAGGGTGGGCTCAGTGCGTGAGTCCGCTTGTCGCCCCGCGCCCGCCCCTCCCTGAAGGACAGGGGCCAGTCCCCCCCCCCCGCCCCTCCTGAAGGACAGGGGCCAGTCCCCAACCCCCCCCCCCCCCCCCCCGGTCCTCAAAAATAAAACAACTTGGGGGGGGGAAAGAGGGGAAAAAAAACAAAAAAGAAACCTGGGGCCTTCACTTTTTTTTTTTCCGGGGGGGGTTTCTCCCCCCCCAAAAGGAGGAAAGGGGGGGGCCAGAACAACCTTTTGAATTGGTGGGGGGTAAAATCGGTTTAAATTTTAAAAAAAACCCTCAACAGGGGAATTTTCTCCCCTTCAAGGGCCCACTCCAAACCCCGCAAAAAAAAGGAAATTTTAAGAAAAAAAAAAGGGGGGGGGGGCGGGGGCCCGCT